ACAAAGCTGTTTTCACCACACCCTTCACCTACACTTAAGAGGGTGGTTTTTCCTCTCTTTAACTCTTGAATTCGGTGCTCTTCGCTTTACACCACCTCCAAGTGGCAGTTGGTGATTCTCCAGGGACTCAAGTTGTGTGCCTATGAAATGGTCTTTGAGTTTGAGCAACAAAAAGAAATGGGAAGGGGCAAGACCAGGGTTGTAGAGTGGACGGAATGAGGTTTCCCACAAAATTCTCATAGGACGACCCTCGCTAGCCTTAAAGAAGTACGTTGTCTTGACACGGAAAAAAAGATCTAAGTTATTTGGTGCAACTCTCCTCATTCTTTACTCACCAAGCTAGTTTTGATTTTGGTGAAAACGTCTTAACAGTAAGGCCTCATGATTGACCTGTGTCCTTGAGAAAATCTATCAAGATGACCCCCGGTTTGGTATGCCAGGAGAACATCACCATCACTGAGAGCAGAGCTCTCTTCCTTGAATTCCACCGGCCGGGCAAGCCCCCTCAGCAGCTGGTTTTGAATGGAGGTTTAGTTTGAAGGCACCCTGAAACCAAGACACGTGTGCCGTGGAGAAAACTGCTCTGCAGCCATCCACTGACGGCAACATGTGGAAACACACTTTGTTTGGGATCAACCCATGCATGTATGAACTGGGACCCTGGTAGCACTGTAGTCTGACTGCTCCTCAAAATGTTTAGATATGGCCTGATCCACAGCAGGAGCTTCTCAATGGAAGATTTTTTGAGACTGGGTTTTATGTAGCTGTATTTAAGATTCTGCATTGTATTGCAACACAAGCTTCTTTAATGATAATGCTCGCACACACAATGCAGCAGATTGCTGGGGGTAATCTGGGGTCTTAATCATGCTCTAGTAAGCAGGTGGCATATCGTCCTAGATGTCACTCTTGTTTCAAAAGCTGCTGGCAAGTCAACACAAGCTGTTTGGATAAAGTGGTTTCTTCAAATCGTCATCCCAGCGTAATTCATAACAGGCAGCTCCACAGTTTTTGTTCCATATTGGATTTGGAAAATGGATCATTTGAAAACACATGGAATCGATGCCTGTACTTTTTGGTCCTCGTGGCATTTCATGGGAAGTGCCAGCTTTCTTATGGAAACCTTCTTCCGAACCAACTTGGACCCACGTGGCCAAGGCCCTCATCTCCCATCACTGCTCGTTCTTCCAGATTTTCCTGCTACTGTTTCTTCTGTGGTGTTTGCCAATCCTCCTTCCCTTCTTCGTTCTGCCTCTAAGGCCTCCTCTCCCGATTCCTCCTTATATCCTTCAGTTCACAGAACTGGTCTTTATTAACCCTTCAGTCCTGGGGACAGCTGTGCAGTTCAGTTCTACCGGGACAACATTCCAGTCAGATCCCTGCAGAGAGGAGTATACCGGAATTTCAGTCAGGTGACATGAGGATGGACTCACAGTGCTGTGGGGACACACCGCGACTCTGGGAAAGCTCTCTGGAGGAAGGTAGATCTCAGTTGGGACTGGATGTGTGGAAGGTAGATCTCAGTAGGGACTGGATGTGTGGAAGGCTGGTCTCAGTAGGGACTGGATGTGTGGAAGGCTGGTCTCAGTTGGGACTGGATGTGTGGAAGGTAGATCTCAGTAGGGACTGGATGTGTAGAAGGTAGATCTCAGTTGGGACTGGATGTGCGGAAGGTAGATCTCAGTAGGGACTGGATGTGCGGAAGGCTGGTCTCAGTAGGGACTGGATGTGTGGAAGGCTGGTCTCAGTTGGGACTGGATGTGTGGAAGGTAGATCTCAGTAGGAACTGGATGTGTAGAAGGTAGATCTCAGTTGGGACTGGATGTGTGGAAGGCTGGTCTCAGTTGGGACTGGATGTGCGGAAGGTAGATCTCAGTTGGGATTGGATGTGCGGAAGGTAGATCTCAGTTGGGACTGGATGTGTGGAAGGCTGGTCTCAGTTGGGACTGGATGTGTGGAAGGTAGCCCCAACAGAGAGGTGCAGGGTACCCTGGGCTGAGGACACAGTGTGTGTGTCAGGCTGGAGGTGAGAGAGTGAGGGCCATCTGATGAACAAAAGGAAGCACTGGGTGGCATTTTGCAGTAACCTGCAGTCTGGTAGAGTGGAGGAGGCTGGGAGAAGGGGCAGAATCCGAATCCAGTTCCTGGAGGAGTTAGCGAGCCCTGGTAAGCCTCACGGTTCCTGTTATGTTCTGCAGCCCACCTTATCTGAAGATGAATTTGTAATCATCTGCACCGAAAGCTCTCCATTGCAGTCAGGCTGCCCCGGGCACGGCCAGAAGGACAGGCTGTCCCTCCAGGTGATCCAGAAGTCATCATTGCGGTGGCCTCGTGGCATTCAAAGGGCTTTCTGTTGACCTGTCCTCCTCCTAGACTGCAGGCTCTGGAGGAGAGGGACCGTGAGGAGGGGAGGACGGTGTGCACCTGCCTCCCCCCTAGACTTCAGCCCTGTGGAGGGGAGGGCCTGTTCCTAGCTCATTGCCTGCCTCAAGTGTGCCATGCCATCTCTCCTTTGCCCTCCTGCTGTTGTCTGTGTGTTTTGCTGGCCCACTCCTCCCCAGTGACCCCAACAGAGCTTTCTTCTGTGCTCTGCGATGTGTGTGATGTGCCCACTGCTAACAGAGTACCTGTCGGATGGCCATTCATTCCAGGCCTTTCTCTGGACACTGGACGGCAAGCAACACGAGGGCAGATGCTGTGCTAATTGACCCTCGCAGTGTTGGTGTCCAGCGAACCTCTTGAAGAGGACAAGCTTAGAGCGGGTACAGGGAGAATCTACCACCCTGTCTGCCAGTTTGTCATACTCTGTGGCTTCTCCATTGCTATGATGCTGGAAGCTATGCCCCTGCTGTTTCAAATACCTGCTGGGTCATCCTCTGTAGTAGAGAGGTTTCCACAGAGCTTCCAGACTAAGAGCTGTTAGGTGGGAAGGCCTGATGCTCTACCTGTAAAAGTTAGCCCCTGAAAATCCTGTATACAGAGCACAGCAGAGTATTTTTCACTATCGTACTAGAAGGTGGACCCCCTAGATTGGAAAGTAGTAAGAACACATGGTGGTTGCAACCATGGCGTGGTTGCAGCATATGAATGATTGTGAAGATGGCGTAGGACCAGGCAACATTTTGCTGTACTACCCATGGTCCCCAGGAATCTGCGCTGACTATTAACAAGAAGGGGACTGGCTGAGTTCAGCCCAAGGGACAGTGTCAAGGAGTGATGGGGCCCGCAAAAAGCAGTTATAAAAATGGAGGGGAAGTGGAAGAACTTTACTGCCACGTGCACCACAAACGTAATTCTAGGAAGATAGGACATTGGTGAGAAGAAATGTTACATGAAAAGAGCTAAGACCCTTGGGAGCTGACAAGATGAGTTCAATGAAATGAAGAAATGGTAGTAATACAAACACATTCTCTCTCTCTCTCTCTCTCTCTCTCTCTCTCAGCAATGAACGTGGATCATGAAGTCAACCTCTTGGTGGAGGAAATTCATCGCTTAGGGTCAAAAAGTAAGTACTCTCCCATGTAAATTGTGCTTCTTCCTGGTTTTCCCCCAGAGCAGCAGACCTGGCATTTTGATGGAAGCCTGTGAGTGCATCATCCAGGCTTCCGGACACAGCAAGGGAGCTCAGCCCAAGGTCCCAGTATGCTTTCCTGAAGTGGCATCTGGGGGACACAGAGCTCCTGCGGGAATGTGATTCCAGTGCAGGAATTGTTTGAAATGTTTGAATGGACGGACATTAACCAAGCTTCTTTAATCGGACAATATTGAAATCTGATAAATGAACCATCTCCAAATTGTTATTCGTCACACTGTTAGGATTCACTCTTTCTGCCTGTACCACCCATCATTTTACAGACTTCACATGACCAGGAGCTTACATTAACATCATGCTACATTGTCTGTTTTTCCCAAATTCTTGAGTTTTGTATAATCAAGTACTTATGTATATATAACTAAAATAAGCCCTCCTATAAGTACTTCTTTTCCTTCACCCCCAGATAGGCAGATACCATGTAAACTTGGTAGTATTAGCATCCCCCACCCAAAACAAAAAAATTGCATTTTTTCCTCTTTGGGATCTTGTCCCTCTCAGGCTCCTGTGAATTGGTCAGATTGATTTGCTCTTATCTTCTATCAGCCACTACCGGTCAGTCTGTGGAGGCCTAAGTGTGACTGTGAGGCAAGTTTCACAAGTACCCCGTTTTAGGAGGATTTCCATGCTTAATGAACTAGAAGGCAAGCTCCGGCCACCTGCTCTGGCAGTTAGCCAGTGGAAAACCAACGGATTGCAATGTTCGGATCCACAACTGATCATGGGGAGGGCGCTGAACTGGGCAGCGTTTCATTGTTTGGGGCATGAGGTGACCATGAGTGGAGGGCTGCCTCCTGGCAGCTCACAAGAGTATTCCTGGAACGGTGCCACTGTTTTAATAATAATAATAAGAAAACCAGAAAACGACTACTTTAAAATCAGTAGCTGTACAAACACAAGTATTATAAAATAATGATTGTCACTTCTATAACCATAACAAGATTTTCAAATCTGCAGCTTCAACAGGTCACCTCATCTCACCTGTCCCTGGGAATGGATGACTTATTGGGAAGCACATATGGGACTGTCTTACCTCCTGACATGTGATAGTAATTATTGAAGTTAAGTCTGGAATAATGTTGCCTTCTACAAGTGACCATGAGCTCAAGTCAGAAATGGATTGATTTTTTTTTCTTTTTATAACTCAAATTCCTTAATGGCTCTCATTTTGCATTTCATTGGAAAAAAAATTAAGGGGAGAAAGATTATTGGAGATTTAAAGCTCATCATTCAACAGATATTTTTTGCGTCTCCCCTTCGTGCTCAGTACTAACAATGCAGAAATAAACCAAATTCTATCTCTGCTGTTTGGGTAATGGGAACATCGAAATGAATCGAAACTGTGTGACAGGGAGTGGATGAGAGCATGCGCCCTAGAATGAGGGCACCGCCCTAAGCTCTTCTGTGCTTTGGTTCCCTTATTTGTAATAAAAACAATAGTTCATGTTGATGCTTCACAGATACTTCCTTCCACACTTTAAATTCTCTGAAATTATGTGTACCTTACAACACTTCGGTTGCTCTCATGTTTTTGCTATTGTGAATAATACTGCACTGAACATGAGTGTACATGTCTGAAAAAATGTTGGAAACCCAAATGCACTAAATCTGACTCAGAGCAACCCTATAGGACAGTGGTTCTCGACCTTAATGCCGCAACCCTTTAATACAGTTCCTTATATGGTGGTGACCCCCCAACCATAAAATTATTTTTGTTGCAACTTCATAACTAATTTTGCTACTGTTACGAATCGTCATGTAAATATCTGATATGCAGGATGTATTTTCATTGTTACAAATAGAACATAATTAAAACATTGTGATTAATCACATAAACAATATGTAATTATAATTCATGAAGTGCCGTTTTACCTCCACTACTGCTGCTTTCAACACAGCAGCTGCTCTCTGCACTGTGTGATTGGTCTGCATAAGTACATTATGGCGCCAACCCTGTCAAATACACCTTTATTTGTACGGGGTGTATGTGATGGGGTTGGAGCGATGATGTCATCATGCCAGATACTAGTACGTATGTGGGCATATCTGCATGTGGGCGGACTCACCTGGAGACAGATAGAGGAGTGGTGTCTTGGTTCCTAAGACCATCGGAAATATGTTTTCCAATGTTCTTAAGCGACCCCTGGGAAAGTGTCATTTGACCCCCAAAGGAGTTGCAACCCACAGGTTGAGAACCACTGTATAGGTAAAGGTAGGACTGCTCTTGTAGGTTTCTGAGACTTAACTCTACAGGAATAGAAAGCCTCCTCTTTCTACCATGGAGTGGCTGGTGGATTTGAACTGCTGATCTCATGGTTAGCAGACTAACCTGTAACCATGACGGCACTAGGGCTCCCTGGTTAAGCCCTCATAGATGGTTATTAAATATTTGTGTCTCTGCCTCACACAGTCTGCATCACACAGACTTTGCATTTGTTAAACTTTTATTTTCTTAAATTAGATGCTGATGGCAAGATAAGTGTGAAATTTGGCGTCCTCTTCCAAGATGACAAATGTGCCAACCTCTTCGAAGCACTGGTAGGAACTCTGAAAGCTGCAAAACGGAGGAAGATTGTCACCTACTCTGGAGAGTTACTTTTGCAAGGCGTTCATGATGATGTTGATATTGTATTACTGCAAGATTAATGTGGTTTGCAAATCTTTGTGTATTGCTATTTTTTGTTTCTGGAAAACTGGATCATTATGTCAAAGAACAAACTTGTAAACACACTTAATGTATTTTTATAGAACTTTATAAACAAAAGGAAGCTCATATTTTAGGAGTCTGTCATTTTTTTATATCTGGAAAGGAAATTTATGTATGACACTGTAAAATAAACAGAAACTTATTATTTTTCTCAAGAATCTGGTTAGGAAATGCTGGCAATGAGGCTTTTTTGGGGTGTGGGGGGGATTCTGGGGAAGTGTTTGCTTCATAAATCATTCTTAGACAATTTTATAGATATTTGCCATTCTGTGAAAACCAGAAGCAAACTGAAAACCAATACCACAAGGAATATTATAATTTCTGTGTAATAAAGCCATGCCACTATGCTAGAATTGCCTTATTTTATGATTTAAGCATGCATGTGCCTCTGTGAATTACTTTTTTTGTTTTTTTGCATTAAGATTAGATAACCACAGTAAAAGAGATCTTGTTTTGAAGAAAATTCTTTTAAACTACAGAATTAAAAAAAAAAAAAAAAAAAGGATAATATGGTTAAAAACCAAACTCGGTGCCACCAAGTCAATTTCAACTAGATCCTACAAAACATTTATTTTGATGTCTGTGTGCCAGCCTCTGAGTTAGGGGACGTTTACATGTTGCAATGTGTTGTACAAAACTGAAAATGCACAAGGTGGAATCAGTGGAAGCCACAATGGCCAGAGAAGGTATTCCAAAAGGGACAGAGCTTGCATGCCTGTACTCAAGGGTGGTTGGAACCACTTACCTAGATGGATGAAGATGGGGTAGGGTGAGGGGTGTAACGACTGAAGATATGGCAGAGCGATGGGAATTAGCAAGGCAAGGTAGGCCAGGAGGTTGGCCTGAATCTTAGGGAGAAGACAGGATTTGGACTGGATCATTAGACTGAGACCCGGAGAGGAGTCTGCACTGAAATCAGAGCAGCAATTTCCACAGTGGAGGTGGAGGAATAGATAAATGTCAATCACATTTTTAAGGATGTTGAAACCATAGCACCCCCTCCCCCCCATCCCCTACTTCCAGGTCAAACCAACTTAAGCAACAAAAGCATTCATTGGCACTCAACAGTCATTGCTGACATTTATTAAGCCATTATGCTAATCCCCATGCAACCCTATGAGGTATGTAATATTAGCTTTATCTTGCAGGTGAGGCACAGAAAAGGTAGACATTATCTAAATTTCCTTAGCTAAAGCGAGGTGCAAACTAGGGTTTTAAATTTGATTTTTCTAATGGGAAAGCCCTTTGAGGACCGAGGTGTGCCTAAGCCAAGCCATGATATTTTCAGTGGCCTCCTGCATGTGAACTCTGGACAGTAAGGGGAAGGCTGCAGAAGAATTGATGCATTTGAGTTATGGTGCTGTGAAGAATATGGAAAACATTACAGACTGCCAGAAGAACAAGCAAATATGTCTTGGAAGGAGTACAGCCAGAATGCTCCTTAGAAGCAAGGATGGTGAGATTTCATCCCGCATACTTTGGGCATGTTATCCAGAGAGACTAGTACAGGGAAGTACAATGTCAGTGGAAAAGGTAGCCACTCTGTGGGTCCGTCCCCAATTCCAGCTATGTGGACCCCTGTGGGGTACCAGCCCCCACAATCAAATGGGTCCAAGGGTGGTTGTGTAATTAAAGAGTAAGATTAAAGAGACATCTGACAAAATAAAGCCTGTAAGTGCTCACCTTTGCAGTCATGACTTCAGCAACCAGGTCCACAGAGAGAGAGAATATATTTCCAACCAAGGCTTATATACACTCTGGGGGCATGCAAGCCCCCCTAATTACAGGTAACCACATACATAACAAAGTGGGCTGTACCCAAACCCTAAAGGTTCCTGAGTACATAGGAGGTGTAACCTGACACCACTGCCCAGGGCAGGTCAGGGGGAGTGGCTGTTTTCAGAGCCCAGAGAGCAATAGCACATGTCTGTCTCTATAGTTAAAGCTGCCAGCTAAGTAGCAATCAGTCATGTGCTTGTAAGGTAACTTTAAGGTAGAACTATTATGGGAGGATATAGTGTAGAACAATATTAATTATGAGAATGTGATTGAGACTCATCTGCATCTCACAAGGGTGAAGGCCTCCCTCTACCCCAGAAACCCATCCTGTGGGCTTCTTAATATATGAGAATAAAGGATTCATCCATATACACACTTCCCATTCTCTGCTCCCCACATTCCCCCTCCCCCAGAAGAGTGCACTACAGAGGAAGGCACTGAAGATACAGCTTGGTGAGAGGGGCGGGTCTGCTCTGAACACAAGGGAGCCAACTAAGAGGGAAGAAGAGAGAGAGAGTGGACTACATCCTGGCCCACTAAGCCCCAAGGACAATATTCCTGCTTGGAGCAGCCAGTGCACAGAGAGGACCTTAGGGCCGGCCCCACCACAAGACATGGCATGCCCCCACTGACCCATAGCGCTATGGGGGTCAACACTGGAGACAAAATGTTGTGCCCAGTCTGATCCTTCCCGCCCCAACCCCCAAGGACGAAACACAAAGGGAGTGCAACAGAGCAGCAAGGGGAGCAAAGCAATGAAGTCCCAGAGGAATCCTCAAAATAGAATTCAGGGCCAGGGCTTGGCACCTCATCAGACTTGATCAGAAAACACTCATAAAGGTCAACAGACAGATCTGGAACTATTTATAGGCT